TACTCAGGAAACTGAGGCAGGAAAATCGTTTGAACCCAGGAGGCAGAGGTTGCAGTGAGCCGAGAGCACACCACAGCACTCCAACCCAGGTGACAGAGCGACACTCCGTCTCAAAAAAGCCTAAACAAAACAAAACAAAAACCACTCAGTAAACTAGGTATTGAAGGAACATACCTCAAAATAGTAAAAGCCATCTATGGCAAACCCACAGCCAACATCATACTGAATGGGCAAAACCTTCCCCTTGAAAACTGAACAAAACAAGGATGCCTTCTCTCACTACTCCTATTCAATGTAGTATTGGAAGTTCTGGCCAGGATAATCAGGCAGGTGAAATAAATAAATGATATTCATATAGAAGGAGAGGAAGTCAAACTATTCCTGTTTGCAGATGGCATGATTGGATATCTAGAAAAATCTATAGTCTCAGCCCAAAAACTTCTTAAGCTGATAAACAACATCAGCAAAGTCTCAGGACACAAAAAACAATGTGCAAAATTTCTAGCATTTCTACACACCAACAACAGGTAAGCTGAGAGCCAAATCAGTAATGAACTCCCATTCACAACTGCCACAAAAAGAATAAAATACGTAGGAATATAGCTAACTTGGGAGGTAAAAGATCTCTACAAGGGAAACTACAAACTGCTGTTCAAAGAAATCAGAGATAATGCAAACAAATGGAAAATTTTCCTATGCTTATGGATAGGAAAAATCAATATCATAGAAATGGCCATACTGCCCAAAACAATGTATAGATTCAATGATATTCCTATCAAACTATCATTGACATTCTTCACAGAACTAGAAAAAATAATTTAAAAATTCACATGGAACTAAAAAACAGCCTGAATAGCCAAGGCAATCCTAGGCAAGAGGAACAAAGCTGTAGGTATTATGGTACCAGATTTCAACTATACTTCAGGTCTACAGTAACCAAAACAGCATGGTACTGGTACAAAAACAGTCATATAAACAAATGGAACAGAATAGAGAACCCAGAAATAAGACCACATACCTACAACTGTTATCTTTGACAAACCTGACAAAAACATGAAATGGGGAAAGAATTCCCTATTTATAAATGGTGCTGGGATAACTGGTTAGCCATATGCAGAAGATTTAAACTGAACCCCTTCCTTACACCATATACAGAAATCACCTCAACATGGATTAAAGACTTAAATGTAAAACCCAAAACTATAAAAACCCTGGAAGACAACCGAGGCAATACCACTCAGGACATAGGCATGGGCAATGACTTTATAACAAAGATGCCAAAAGCAAGTGCACCAAAGCAAAAATTGACAAATAGGATCTAATTAAACTAAAGAGCTTCTGCACAGCAAAAGAAATTATCAACAGAGGAAACAGACAGCCTACAGAATGAGGGGAAATTTTTTGCAAATTATGAATCCAACAAAGATCTAATATCTAGCATCTATAAGGAACTTAAACAAATTCATAAGAAAAAACAAACTAACTCCATTAAAAAGAGAGCAAACAGTATGAACAGACACTTCTGAAAAGAAGACATACATGCAGCCAACAAACATATGAAAAAAAGCTCAATGCAAATCAAAACCACAATGAGATAACCATTTCACACCAGGCAGAATGGTGATTAATAAAAAGTCAAAAAATTAAAGATGCTGGCAAGGTTGTGGAGAAAAAGGAACACTTATACACTTTTGGTGAGACTGTAAATTAGATCAGCCATTGTGCAGTGATTTCTCAAAGGCCTTAAGACAGAAGTACCATTATATCCAAAAGAATATAAATCATTCTATTGTAAAGACATAGGCACATATGTTCATTGCAGCAACATTCACAATAGAAAAGACACGGAATCAACTTAAATGTCCATCAATGATAGACTGGATAAAGGCAATGATAGATACATACCATGTAATACTATGCAGCCAGTAAAAGGAACAAGATCATGTAATTTGCAAAGACATGGATGGAGCTGGAAGCCATTATCCTTAGCAAACTAATGCAGGAAGACAAAACCAAATACTGCATGTTCTCACTTATCAGTGGAAGCTAAATAGCTAAATGTATTTGTCTAGTTGCCAAACTTTCCCTTGGTGTATATTTCTAGTGTATTTCCATTGTGGCCAGAGAAGATATTTGATATGATTTCAGTTTTTGAAAATTTGTTGAGACTTGTTTTGTGGCTTAACATAGGCTCTCTCCTGGAAAATGTTCCACGTGTTCATGAAAAGAGTGTATATTCTCTAGTGCTAAATAAAGTGCTCTATAAATATCTATTATCTTTATTTGGTCTAAAGTTCAGTTTAAATCCAATGTTTCTTTCCTGATTTTCTGTGTAGATGATCAGTCTCATGCTGAGGTTGGGATGTTGAAGTCTCCTCTCTAATTGTATTGCAGTCTATCTATCGTTACATGTAGTAATTTTACAGGATGCTCTTTGTTAGAAAAGGAAATGATTTCGGGGCTGCATTTCATTTTTTAAAACCTTACTGAGGACTTCCATACCCTCACTATCTGCCGAAATAATTTCTTCTCAACTCCTATATCACTGCCAGACTCTGAGCCAGAAACAGGGGAGAGAGAGGCTGGGACTGTGTAGAATGTATTTTAGTAGAAGTGGTTGAATGGGAGTAGTGATGTCCAGTTTCCAGGTGCAGCAGTGACATCTCTCCTGGCCTCAGGGTCCAGTGTCCAGCACCAGGTGTCAGAGGTGTGAGCAGTGGCGTCTGTGCTCAGCAGCAGGGGCACTTGTTCCCAGGAGGGACCTGATCCAGGGTGGGCTGTGGATTCTGTTCCTGGATGTGTCGTTTCCACGCTGGTTCTGTGGCCTTCCCTGTAAGGTCAGCCAAGAGAAAGGATGAGAAGGAAACCCAAGGTCAGACGCGGAAGTTTGTTAACCTGCCAGCTGCTCCACCACAGACAGAGGAGGCAGCACTAAGCTTACAGAATGAGGGGTTTATATTGAGGAGGGGAGTGTGAGGGAGGTCTTTGGTATGGCCACCTCCTGGGGTTGTTTGCTGGTTAATTTTGCCATATATCACTTTGTGACGTTTATTACGTTTATTACAGGAGGGTTTAGGTACAGTTTATTTATGCTTCGCAGGACCTCCCCCTGTGCAGTCTGGATGGTTTGTAATTGGGGTTTGCTTATTGCAGGAAAGTGTGATAAGTGAAGTCTGCTGGCTTCACCGCTGCACCTAGATAAGGGCTTAGAAATGTAAAGAGCCTTGGGGGAAGGATTAGAGTCACAGAGCATTAGGGGGAGGGGTGGGCAGCTCAGAGAGGTTTTAGGGCAGGGTCCGCAGTACCAAGAAGCTTTTTGGGGCAGTTTGTCCCTAACATTCCCCACAATAAAATTAGCCCCCAATACCACGTATACTTCTTCATGTGTAAATTAGAGAACTGGTTTCCATAGTTTGCTCCAAGAAGTGAGTGAGAAATGAGTCTGTGGACGAGTGTCAGAGAGTGGCAATCAGGGGTGTTCTTTGTGCGAGAGCCACATCCTGAATTGTGTACCTGGCCTCTACCCCATGGTGGAGAGAACAACAGGGAATGTCACATCTCATAACTGATGATATATATCCTCCCTTTTCTTTTGCAAGAAAAATCCTCTTTTAAACAAAGTTTGAAAACCCACCCCACCCACCCACCCTGGCCACTCTCTGATTTGATCTCAGTGGTTCCCAATCTGGCTGAGCAACAGGATTGCTGGTGGGGCTTAGAAAATACGCAGGCCATTTCCCAGAATGTCTGTCTCAGAGTATTACGCACAAGACCAAGGAATCACTTATATAACAAGTGCTACAGGTGAGACTGATGCTTAGGTATGTGGGATCCTGGTGTTCTTGATCTGGAGACCAGCAACATGAGCTCCAGCCTTGTCATAAATCAAGAATCTCTTGCTCGACTCCAGACTTCCTGGATCTCAGCACCATGTCCAGGTGATCCCTGTGGACATGAGCATTCCTTATCTAAGTGTTCTCTAGACTTGTGGTCAGAAGTGTGCAGTCTGCTTTGGGTGTGGTCTGCTCCGATCCCTTAGAACTGGAGGTCCAGGGTTCAGTCCATGCCCTCAGTCTTTTCCACAGTCAATCACTCCCTTGGTGCTTCATCCATCCTTGAGATTTTAAGTATTGTTTATATGGTGTGACCTACTAAATCTATTTCTCCAGCCCAATCTATTTCTCCTTTCTGCTAAAGTCTGGAGTTGTCTGTCCAAATTCCACCCCTGCTCCCCCACCTGCATTCCTAGTAGACATCTCCACTGAGTGCCTGTGATGCCCCCTCCTCAGTATGCTCCTGCCAGAGTCTCCCCATCTCCACTGACAGCAGCTCCACCCTTCCTTCTACTCACTCATTTTACAACTATGGGTGTCCTTGGCTCATCTTTCTCACACCACGGATACAATCCATTGGCAAATGCTGTGAGTTCATCTTCAAATGCATCCAGGATACCTTCATGTCCCACTATTTCCCCTGCTCACACCCCAGTCAAGGTCACTGACATCTCCAGCCTGGAATACTCTACTCGCTTCCTACTGTTTTCCCTTCAGCCTCCCTTGTCCCTCGCCTCTCAATTCCGTTCTCAGAACAGCATTCAGAGATCCTTTTAAAAGAGAAGTCATATCATGTCCCGCTTCTGCTCAAAACTGTCATCTACCTCTCCATCTCACTCAGAGCAGAGGTCAGATGCTTCCCCACTCCCTCCTGGCCCGCCTGCTCTGACCACACCTCTGACCTCATCCCAGTTTCTCTCTGTCCGGCCCTCCTGGCCTCCTTGCTCTTCTGGGAACACAGACACCTTCCTGCCCCAGTACATTAGAACCGGAGGATCCTCTGCCTGGAAAGAACTTCCGCAGACATCCTCGTGGACAACTCATGTCCCTCAACTCTTTCCTCAAAGGTCATCTTTGCAACAAGGCACACAAAGACCACCCAGCACAACAGCCCCCTTCCCTGTCCCCACTGCCTACACCCTGGATCACATGCCTCACAGCACTTACCACCTTATAGCACTTTCCTTCCTTGCTCTGGTTATCAGGTATCTATCATCTGCGTCTTCCCACTGGAACACATGCTCCACAAGGTCAGAGATTATTCTCATTTTACTTCAGTGATGTTCCCCAGATGCAGAACCACTCTGTCCTATGTCTGACAGAAAACAAAGGTCAGTTGAATGAATGATCACTGTAGAGCACCTCCCTATTCTAAAGGCAATATCTTTATTATTAACATAGCCTCAGGCCAAATGCTGTTTTGTGGCAGCTACAGCACAAGGTCCCCTCACATTGACACTGAGGCCGCCTGTGCTTTTCTCAACAGTGCTGCTTGTGGTCCTCCCTCTCCCATCCCTCCTCCCACACCAACCCCCTCTCCCCACCTGCACACTGCAGCACACAATCAGGTTTCTCTCTTCAGGAAAGAACAGTCCTTGATGATGGGTCCAATTTCACAAACAAATATAAATCTAAACTAGATTATGCTTTAGATTCATGAGTTGATATTGGAGCCAGCACCAAGATCACTGGAACGAGGGCAGGGAGAGAGGGCAGGAGATCAGAGCAGAAGGGGAGCCCTAGAAGGAGGGCAGGAGCTGAATGGGTCTGAAAACTTGTCACAGAATGCACAGAGACTCCTGTGTGCAGGAGTCGCCCTGGTGATGTGTGAGGCTCTGTGGTCACAGTTCTGCTGGACAAGTTTCCACTGAAGGGACAAGAACAATGGAACAGTGAAGGTCACCCAGCTGAGGACTGACCACATAAAGCCCACAGTGGATTGAACAGCAACTGGGCACAGGCCCCTCCACACTCGGCTCCTCATAGCCTTCTCCACTCCCACCTGCAACAGACTCAGAACAGCGAACATGTAGATTCTGGAAGGTTCTCAGGTCTTTATTTCCTCTCTCAAGTTCTAGGAATTGACTTATTTAATTAACCCATCATCTTCTCATGGCAAATATTTGAGAAAACAATTTTCTATTCAGATTCTTATTTTTAGTAGGGAAGTAAGAGGTTGCAGCTCTGTGTACCATGAAGTTGAGACAGAGATGGAGACATCCAGCCCCAACTCTCTGGAACAGGAAGGGTAACTGGGGAGGGAACACAGGTCAGTGTGGGAACAGGGGTCACGGTGGACCCGGGGGTGGGCAGTCTTTCCACCTCCTCACATTATGCTAATAGGGATGCAGACACATTCAGATGCCTTTGCCAGATGCTCTTGAAGTCACAAAGGAAACGCCTGAAGAAATCTTGCATCTCAGTCTCACACAAGGCAGCTGTCTCAGGCTACAGAAAGCAATAGTCATAAACAAATCCAAGTCAGTCATGTTAAGTGATGACACTCTGAACAGTGCCCCACACACTCGAAACATCCCAATCAAAGAAGCCCCATAACCCAGTCCTTTCCCCTTTGCCCCACCCCCACCCACTTCAGACCCCAAGAATCTCACCTTTACAATCCCTGAGAGACACATCAGAGCCCTGGGCACTGTCGCTGGCTGGGGTAGAACAAAAACAGCATCTGGTCAGAGCCCGCAGGAAACATGGGACAGGAGGAATTACGGGATGGGTGAGCTCCTCCACACTCCCACCCCCACCACTTACACACAGCCTGAGAGTAACTCCCTCCTTTTCCACCTGTGGGAAGAAAATGTTCTGTGAGGGGACAAGGAGGAGGCAGGGACACGAGACCTTAGAGGAAGGAACCTCCTAGTCTTGTACCGGAGAGAAGTTTTCGGAACTGTGACTACAGACCCAGGGCAGAATCAGGAAACACCAGGAAAGCAGGGGTGGGTGCTGGACCAACGGCCCTCCTAAGGCCTGTCCTTAGCAGGGACCTTCCCCTGACTCATGAATGCTGGAATCTGGACCCCAACACCACAACCATCAAGGTGATACATTGTCCTTCTTTGTCACATGTGCTTCACAAAAGAGTAAGTGCCGGCACACAGGGCCCCAGGCTGGGATGGCCCATGTGTGGATGCTGCTTCCCAATAATTGTGGGGAAAAGAAAGAAAGATCAGACTGTTACTGTGTCTATATAGAAAGAAGTAGACATAAGAGACTCCATTCTGTTCTGTATTTGAGATGCTGTTAATCTGTGACCCTACCCCCAACCTTGTCCTTGCAAGAGACATGTGCTATGGTGATTCAAGGTTTAAAGGATTTTGGGCTGTGCAGGGTGTGCTTTGTTAAACAAGTGCCTGAAGGCAGCTTGCTGGTTAAAAGTCATCACCATTCTCTTAATCTCAAGTACCCAGGGACAAGTACACTGCCAAAGGTCACAGGGACCTCTGCCTAGGAAAGCTAGGTATTGTCCAAGGTTTCTTCCCATGTGATAGGCTGAAATATGGCCTCGTGGGAAGGGAAAGACCTGATCGTCCCCCAGCCTGACACCCGTGAAGGGTCTGTGCTGAGGAGGACTAGTACAAGAGGAAAGAAGGCCTCTTGGTGGTTGTTGGCAGTTGAGATAGAGAAAAGCATCTGTCTCCTGCCCGTCCCTGGGCAATAGAACATCTGGGTATAAAACCCCATCATATGTTCTGTTTACTGAGAAAGGAGAAAACCGCCTTAGGGCGAAAGGCGGGATTTGCTAGCACAATGCTGCTCTTTATGCACTAAAAAGGTTTATGGAGATGTTTGCATATGCATATCAAGGCACAGCACTTTTCCTTAAACTTATTCATGTCACAGAGAACTTTATTCACATGTCTTACTGCTGACTTTCTCCCTACAATGATCCTATTATCCTGCCACTTCCTTTTCTTTAAGATGGCAAAGATAATTATCAATAAATACCAAGGGAACTCAGAGACCGGTGCCGATGTGGGTCCTCTGTATGCTGAGCGCCGGTACCCTGGGCCCACTTTTTCTTTCTCTATACTTTGTCCCTGTGTCTCATTTCTTTTCTCAAGTCTCTCCTTCCACCTAACGAGAAACGCCCACAGGTGTGGAGGGGCAGGCCACCCCTTCACTAATGAGGCGGGGCACACTTCTACCTGGGGCTTGAAACCCCCAGTGGGACGAGAAAACCCAGACTCCACCCCTCACCCCTTCCCTACCTGAGCTCTTCCTCCTCCACAACACAGCAGTGACCACAGCTCCAGTGACCAAAAAGGCTAGGACAGCCAGGCCAGCAACGAAGCCCAAGATGGGGATGGCGGACTGGGAAGATGGCTCTGGGAAAGGAGGGGAAGGTGAGGGGTCCTGACCCTGCTGAAGGGCTCCAGAAGGGCTCCTACTTTCACTGAGGAGAGACGTGATCCTTCATCCCACTCCTTACCCCATCTCAGGGTGAGGGGCTCCAGCAGCCCCTTGTGCTGCACATGGCACGTGTATCTCTGCTCTTCTCCAGAAGACACCACCACAGCTGCCCACTTCTGGAAGGTTCCATCCCCTGCGGGCCTGGTCTCCACAAGCTCGGTGTCCTGAGTTTGGTCCTCCCCATCCCGCTGCCAGGTCAGTGTGATCTCCGCAGGGTAGAAGCCCAGGGCCCAGCACCTCAGGGTGGCCTCATGGTCAGAGACGGGGTGGTGGGTCACGTGTGTCTTTGGGGGATCTGATGGGAAGAGTCAGAAAATTCAGGCGCTTTGCATCTCTCATGGGACACTCCAGCAGCACGAATGTGACCATCCTGAGAATGGACAGGACACCTGGGGTGGGGAAGGGAGCACAGAAGCCAGACACCAGCCTGGACACAGGCATCTGGGATAATCTCCTATTCCTTGGAGAGTTCTAGTCTCTGAGGGAGGAACATGGACTTCTGGTCCTGACCTGAGTGGAGGCCGAGGGACTCAGAAAAGCTGGAATCAGACCTTCAAACACATTGAGTGTGAGGCAGAGAACAAGGCCTGAGAGGAAAAAGTCACAAAGCCCAAGGCTGCTGCAGGAGTCAAAGGGGACCCCTGATCAGTATTCTAGGGACTGTCTTCCCCTCCATGTCCTCAGAGACGTCATCCCTTAATTGTCCTAGAGAGTAGAGGGGGCCCTCAGAGGAAATCAGGGAAACTCATGCCATTCTCTATTCAAGGGAGGGCGACATTCTAGCGCTGATCCCATTTTCCTCCCCTCCTCATGGGAAGCCATCCCGGGAGATTTATAGGAGACGGGGAAGTCTCCCCACAGCCCCTGCAGGGTACCCGCGCGCTGCAGCGTCTCCTTCCCGTTCTCCAGGTGTCTGCGGAGCCACTCCAGGCACTCGCCCTCCAGGTAGACGCTCCACTCCTCCGCCTCACCGCACGCCTCCCACTTGCGCTGGGTGTTCTGAGCCGCCGTGTCCGCCGCGGTCCAGGAGCGCAGGTCCTCGTTCAGGGCAATGTAATCCTTGCCATCGTAGGCGTGCTGGTTATATCCGCGGAGGAGGCGCCCGTCGGGCCCCAGGTCGCAGCCAAACACCCTCTGGATGGTGTGAGACCCTGGCCCCGCCCCCGCGGTCAGCCCCGCCCGCCGAGCCACGCCCCGCCCCGACCAACCCGCTGAGACTTTGGCCTCGACTGAAAATAAAACCGCGTAAACGCGCCTGGGGCTCTCTCCGGTCAAACGTCTGGGCGGGTCCCGCGGCCTCGGGGCGGATCTCGGACCCAGGGACTCGGGGCGACCCGGGTCGTCCGTGGGGATGGGGAGGGGCCGTGACCTGCGCCCCGGGCCGGGGCCACTCACCGGCCTCGCTCTGGTTGTAGTAGCGGAGCAGGGTCTGCAGGTTCTCTCGGTGAGTCTGTGCGTGGCCCTCGGCGTTCCGCGTCTCCCGGTCCCAATACTCCGGCCCCTCCTGCTCCACCCACGGCGCCCGCGGCTCCATCCTCGGACTCGCGGCGTCGCTGTCGAACCGCAGGAACTGCGTGTCGTCCACGTAGCCCACGGAGATGAAGCGGGGCTCCCCGCGGCCGGGCCGGGACACGGAGGTGCTGAAATACCTCAAGGAGTGCGAGCCTGGGGGCGAGGAGAGGCTGAGACCCGCCCGACCCTCCTCCCCGCGCGGCTCCCCGGGTCCTGCGCCCCCACCTGCGGTCCCCTCGCTCCTCCCCGCAGAGGCCATTTCCCTCCAGACCCCGCACTCACCGGCCCAGGTCTCGGTCAGGGCCAGGGCCCCCGAGAGCAGCAGCAGGACGGTTCCGGGCATCATGACCCGCACCCTGTGCGTCTGAGGAGACTCTGAGCCCGGGTGGGTGCGTGGAGACTTTAGAACTGGAACCGGGGCGACGTTGATTGCCTTCCCTAGAAACCCGACCCCCAATGGGAGTGGGAACTGGGGACTCGTCGTGAGTATCCTGGAAGAAGGACCCGACACAGACTGGGAGAAGTGAAACTCAGGGGAGTGGGGAATCACCAACCCAGCGCCTCCCCAATGCAGAGGAGGCTCTGGGAGCCTGAGACCCTGACAGCCACGCCCGGGACCTGCGACTTCGTCCTGATCCCTCTCCTACACCAAGCCTCTTTGTCCCCCTGTCTGCCCAAGTCCTGGACAAGTATCTGTCTGTGGAAACCAGGGAGGACCCCGAGACTGCACCCAGCCCCTTTCCCTTCACTACTCGTTCTGAAATCCCCGACCCTGAACTGGACTCCCTGCCTGCCATTCCTTACCTCTCCCCTTGGACCTTTGTACAGGAAAACTCACCACAGGGAACTTCATGCCAGAGAGTGAGCTCGCCCTGGGAATGGAGGTGTAGAGACAGGGGTTTTCTCTCTAAACCTGGTGAAGTTTTGTCTGAAGGCACCACACAGAGATTCTCATAGAGACCAGTTTCCTTTTTGTTTATTAATACAGTAGGTAGCACAATGTTGGTAATCCCTGAATGATTAGAATTCCAATCTGTAAGAGACCTGTGTCAAAACAGCATTACAATTAAACTTTCAAAGCTCCTAACTTTTACTTTCCCAGACTATGGATCTGTTACTCTGGTTTGTTGCATTTAAAATTATCTTCATTCCCTAGCCCGAGTTTCCCTGCATGAGTCCAGAACATCTCCTGAATACAAAGAAGGTTTGCTAGTGTCTATTTTAACCCGGAGCCTTGTAGTCATCACCTCAAAGTCGCGAGTGCTCCATGCAGTCCCAATGCTCTTCACGGACGCTCAAGCACTGCCTATTTTCGTGAACTCTGCACATCTAAGCAGTGTGCATATTTTATCTGGACACTTGGTATTTTTGTAACTCTTTTTTTTTTGTTTGTTTTAATCGTAAGGAATCAATTAGGTTTTTGGCAGTCCCACAAAATGTATTAAATACTGAATGCAAAGAAACCCCTGCTAGGCTCTTCCCCTGCTTTAAAATTCTTTCCCCTGCTCCTTTTCCTCACCTCCTGCTTCTCCAGCCCTTCTCTCTGCCCCCTCATCCCTCACACCCTCCTCTCCCCTTAGTCCCCGCCACCCTGTCACTCCTGAATTGTGGCACTAACACTGCCCCTCACTTGTAGAGGACTACGTGCTCGCAAACGAGGCATTCCTGGTAAGTCCTGCTCTTGCAAAGGAAGCAGGGCATTCCTTCCCTGCAAACAGGGAGG